TAAATCCAATCTCCTCTTCTTCTTCATTGTTGCCGATATTATTCACATTAAGCAAAGCAATCCAGACAAGGTGGTGTATGTCTGTAGATTCAGGTGGGGTAGCCGTGTTGGTCTGAAGCAGAAGAACAAAGTTCGAGTCCTTCTGAAGCAGCAGAACAAAGTTCGAGTCCTTTAAGACCAACAAAGTTTCATTCAAGGTATACGCTTTCATGGGTACGCACACTTCTTTAGAGACATCGAAATGGAAGTTACCCGTCCAAACGTATAGGTACGCGAGGGTGAGCAGCAAATTAGCATAGGCATTTTTTTTAAAAGGTGTCCCTCCTTGTGCAAATGGAAAAGCAGGCAGGGCCAAAGTCTGACATTCCTCAGACTCTCCAAATCCCCACACAAAGGACTTCCTCTTCTTTTTAAGCACTGACACCACCACCACCCCATCGGCCTGGTGGAACAATGCCCGTGTCCCGGCTCCAGAGGGTTCCTGGGGAATGCACTGATGGCTTGGCATTTCTGCCTACCTTCAGGAGAGCCTTTCTTGGTTGGTGGTGGAAAGCGTCACCAAGCCGCAGCTGACTTATGGCGACTTCGCAGGGTTTTCAAGGCAAGAGATGAACAGAGGGGTTTCACCACTGCCTGCCTCCGTGTAGCGACCCTGGACTTCCTTGGTGGTCTCCCATCCAGGTACTCACCTGGGCCGGCCCTGCTTAGCTTCCAAGGTCTGATGTGATCTGGCTGACCTGGGCCATGCAGATCAGTGGCATTGTCAGTTACTCCTCCTTAATATAACAGTTGCTCTCCTCCCCACTCAGTCAGACCAAAAGCTAGCTGTAGAAATTTGATCTACAGCCTTTTGCCAGCCTAGTAATCCTATCGAGCACATGAAGCTGCCTTATACTGATTCAAACCTTTAGTCCATCAAGGTCAGGATTGTCTGCTCAGATGGGCAGCGGCTCTAAAGGGTTCCCTCTAAGCTGTGGAGTCCTGTGAGTGAAAATTCCACTTTGTGAGCTACTAGCATTAAAGTTGTGAGCGAGCAATTGGGCTGCTGCCTAAATTACTTTGCTCTGGAGCCATCCTTCCTGAGCTAATGCAAAAAAAACCCCTGTGAGCTAGCGGACACTAACTCAGCTTAGAGGGAACACTGGTCACAAGCAGATAAAGGTCTTTCACGTCACCTATTACCTGATTCTTTTTTTAAAAAATTGGAGATTGGTTGATTTTTTTCTATGTGTGTAGTGTAGCCAGGAGATCCTATGATTGTCTGACAGCCAAAAGTTCTAGCTCTTTAGCGTTATCCAGGGTGCACCACGAAGGGAAGAGCTAGGATTTCACCCCTGTTTAAATGGCGCAAAATGCCAGGACCCGAATGCGATCGTGGTGCAGCCTGCCAAACCATTTTCCATCTGTCATCGGAATGTGAACATCGTGCTTTCCAGGGAGATGTGATGGAACTGTCTGAACTCTCCCCAGGTGCGACTGAGTGGACTGAAAATTTAGATGTTAATATTTAGGGGGGTTGCCCAATCAGTCTGCATACCTATTGTATCAACTTGGTTACATATTTTATATCATTATATGCTTCCCGTGTGTTACTCTGCCGTACGATAAATAAATAACTGGAGATGCCAGGAATTGAACTTGGGGCCTTCTGCAGGCCAAGCAGATGCTCTACCACAGCCCCCTCCCATTCTAGGTTAACCTCTGAGCATTAGCAGAGCACAAACACAAATCAAACCTTCCTCTTCCAAATCATACCCTCACCCTTGATTTGGCCCACGGATCTCCTGTGCCCCATCTGTTTTCACCCTAGTATTCCAAAGTTGCCCTGAGATCTGAACTCAGCTCTCCCATGTCCATATTCAACATAAAGAGATTATTTTGTTTCTTTCTGACTGGGGCTTTCATTTGCTTTCCTATGAAGCTGATGGATGATTTCATAAAGAATTTTGCTGCCTAACCAATATATGTGTTCACGAGGCACTCAGGCATTAGATCCGTTCTGTCTTATCTTCTCCTCCCAGGTACAGCTGCTTGAAATGTGGCCGCTCAGGCGAGGCCAGAGATGCAAACTATAGGTATCGGCTCTCACTCGAAGTTGCTGACGCTCACAGGGTGTTCCTGGTGACTGTCTTTGGCAGCTGCCTGGAAGCTTTCTTTGGAGTCACAGCAGAGAGTCTGCAGAGGTAAAAGAATGCGACGCTTCTGTCCTCACGATCGAGCCGCCTTCCCCCAATGCCTCCCAGCCTGTGCGTGATTTAATTATATCTCTAAAACATTTGTTGTTCAGCTAGCTGCCTGGTTACCAAGCTGGTATGTGTTAATAAGGGCAATCAGATTTGTGCTGCTATTAAAAAAAATACTGTGGACCTTTTACCAGGCCAGTATATTCTAAGCTGCAACACTGCTGGGCATCTGGGATTCGAATGCTGGATTCAGTGAGTGACCGTGAGAAATAATTAAACCTGGACTCAGAGCTCCCCATTTGCTGAGCATGCCTTGCAGCCAAAGGATTTGTTGATTGGTGGTACGTGAAATAAGAACATAAGAAGCGCCCTGCTGGATCAGACAAATGGTCCATCCAGTCCAGCCTCCTGTCTCACACAGTGGCCCACCAGTTCCTCTGGAGGGCCAACAACAGGGCATGGAGGCCAAGGCCTTCCCCTGATAAGAACCTAAGAAGAGCCCTGCTGGATCAGACTAGTGATCCATCTCGTCCAGCCTCCTGTCTCAGACAGTGGCCAACCAGTTGCTCTGGAAGGCCAACAACAGGGCATGGAGGTTGAGGACTTCCCCTGATAAGAACAGAAGAAGAGCCCTGCTGGATCAGACAAATGGTCCATCCAGTCCAGCATCCTGTCTCACACAGTGGCCAGCCAGTTCCTCTGGAATGCCAGCAAACAGGGCCGAGAGGGCAAGGCCTTTCCCCTGACATTGCTTCTTGGCACTGGGATTCAGAGGTTTTTAGTACCTCTGTATACGGAGTCTTCCTGTAGTTACAATGGCTGGTAGCCACTGATAGACCTATCCTCCATGAATCTTTCTGACCCCTTTTTAAAACTGTATATTCCTGTGGCCACTGCTACATCCTCTGGCAGTGAATTCCACATTTTAATCATTCTCTGTGTAAAGAAGTATTTCCTTTTTGCTGTCCCATCTTGCTGCCTCTTCACTTTCTCTGCCTTCTTAAGATAGACAGGTCCCAATGCTAATGGCAGCAGGCTGTAGGATTTTTCTCTGTGTGTCATTCAGAAAGGCACAGGAATCCTCTTCCCTTGCAAGCCTATAGCCCCCCCCCCCCCCCCAGCTTTGGACCATCTAGCTCAGAATTGTCTGTTTTTAACTGGCAGCAGCTCTCCCAAGATTTTTCCCTGCAATCTTTACTAGCCCCACAAGTACATGTGATCCACTTTTGACCAGGGAGTTAACCTGGGAACCTTACACATTCAAAGCCGCTCACAGAACTTGGACTGTAGAGGGCATTTTTGTAAAGCTTAATCCCAACCAGACTGACAATTGTCCTTTCTCACACAATCTGGACTGCAAACGTTTGTTGTTGACAGCTTTGTTGCACGAGCTGTCAGAATGTTCTGGGCCTTCACGTCAGCTCAGCCAATGAGCATCAGGGAATTTGTCACTGCAGGCACAACACAATGCAGGTTGCCTCCCAGTGTTGTGCTGTGCAAAATTCTAGATATACGATGACATGGATCAATTGCAGTAATGATTTTAGTGGCCCCTGTAGCACAGATTAGCACCTTTTGAAAGCTCTTGGGAGATTTACAAGTGCTATGTGTTATTGTTGTTGTTGTTTAATAAATGTTGGAGTCTTTTGCAATTTTTGCAGTGCTAAGGACGCAGATTCCTGAAAAAAACAGAGGTTGTGCTTTTCTGGAATCAGGAGGCAGGTGACTGCAAGCCACACTTTGATGCATAAAATGCATTCAGATCGGAATCATAGAATCATAGAATGTTAGAGTTGGAAGGGATGTTGCAAGTCATCTAGTCCAACCCCCTGCACTCTGCAGGAGCACAGCCGAAAGATAGCCCTACAACATACCCGAAAGATGGTCGTCCAGCCTCCGCTTGAAAACATCCAGTGAAGGAGCATCCACCACCTCCCGAGGCAGACTGTTCCACTGCTCAACCTCTCTTACACTTAGGAAGTTTCTCCTGATATTTAGCCGGTATCGACTCCCTTGTAATTCCCACCCATTAGATCTAGTCTTGCAACTCGGAGCAAGAGATAATAGATCTGCTCCATCTTCTACATGGCAGCCCTTCAGATATTTGAAGACTGCAATCATGTCATTCATTCCAGGTGTTGGAACTGAAGTGCGTTCACCAAGGTCCCTTTGGGGCTCATTCCAGCACATGAAGCACAGTAATCGAAGCGTTTGTGCCTGAACTTCAGTTGGAGTCTCCACTAAAGAGCTTTGTCGTTATCAGCTGATTTTCAGTGTCACGTTTCTGTTTTGTCATCTGAAAGGTACATTGAGGACTTGAACCCGGAAGCGGGAGAAGCGGCCAGGGAAGCATCACCCAGTGTGGTCATTCAGGCCGTTGAAACCTGTTTCATTGGGAAGAAATTTATCTTTGGAGTGAAGGTAACTTTTTCTTCTCGTCACATCGGTCCCTGTGCATGCAGAGCTCAACTACAAGACAGAATAACATCCTGTAGTTGGGCACAGCTTTTGTTCATGGGTTGTGCACGTCTTCAGGTTACACAGAACTCCTACCCCCGTTGCCAGGTCAGCTTGATGAAGAGTCCTGTGTGACTGGACAGATTCTGCAATATCAGTAACCAGAAGTGATGTCACTTTAAGCAGCACCTGGACAAACACTTGTCAGGGATGCTCTAGGCTGGACTAGATGGGCTGTATGGCCCCTTCCAACTCTGTGATTCTGTGTGTCACGAGAAACTTTAGGATTCACCCAAAACTTGATGATAGACGACAGAGTTTTGGGTGAATCCTAGAGCATCCCACACCCCGTTGATGTCACTTGCGGTTACACAGCCAGAAATTACATTGCAGGATGCCATTCTGCCCCTCCCATTGGTGGGGATGATTGATGGTGGGAAGTTGCTAGTGCTTAATAAAGCACATTTCAAAGACCTTTGTCCAAAAGAAGGAACAGGCAGGCAAGCTGCTGGGAATCCCGTTTGAATTTCTCCAAGTCCAAGATGTCAGCGGGTTTTTGACCTTTTGACATTCCCCGGGGACAGCTACACAACCTCCAGTTCCAGCAGTCAAAAAGTAATTTTGTGCCACCAACAGCAGCTCCTCTAGGCAATTTTATCTATTTCCCCCTCCCGTCCGATCAAAGCCACCGTTCCCAGGAGAGGCACAAAAAGCACATCGCTGCAATTTTTAAAAAGCCCCTCTCTAGGCCGTTGATTTTTATTTTTCATTTCCAGCCCATTGTTGATTGGGAGGGGGTAGATTATACGTCCTCCCAGCTGTGCGCTGTTGCCAGTGCCGAAAGATATCCGGGGAGTTTGAGCATCTGCCTCCAGACACCCTGCATGGGAGGAATTCTAATGAGCAGGGTCGGCCCTTCCGATGAAAATGAGGCTGCCTCTGGAAAAACCGATGCTCTTCACCGGGATTCCTGTTTTGCAGCCCTCGGTTCTAGGAGACGAGAACTAGGGCAGAGCGATCGCTAAAGCGGTGAGCCTGTATCTGAGCCTCATCACAGCTGATGAGGGTATAAAGAAACTTTCCCTGAATGCAGAAAATCTGCATGTTGGGCAGAAATGAGGCCAGGACCCTTCTGGTCATCTGGACTCTCCAATGGATGGAACTTTTTGTTGTTCAGAAGAGCATTCCGTCATATCAGCTCCTGCCGCCTCCCCTCTTCCATCCAAGGTGGTGCAGCCCAAACTCACGATTCCCTTCCGCCTGCCTATCGAGTGCATTTTGATCTCAGTCCTTCTTCGAGAGCTTAAGGTGGCGTACTCGGTTCTCCCTCCCCCCACTTTCTTCTCAGAAGAACCCTGTGAGGGAGGTGTGGCTGCGGACATGGCAGCTTCATGGCAGCGAGGGGACTTAGGGACGTAAGAACAGAGCCATGCCGGGGTCAGACCAGTGGCACCGGAGGGACAACGCACAGAGCATAGAGGCCAAGGCCTTCCCCTGATGTCACCTCAGGCTCTGGGGTTCAGAGGATCCATGCCTCTGAATGTGGAGGCTCCCCTTAATCACCATGCCTAGTGGCCACTGATAGACCTCTCATCCACAAATCTGTCTAGTTCCCTAGTTCAAGTTTGGTGTAGTGGTTAAGAGCACAGACTCTAATCTGGGAGAACCGGGATTGATTCCCCACTCCTCCACTTGCACCTGGCTGGATGACCTTGGGCCAGTCATAAGGTCTTTCAGAGCTGTCCTTGAAAAACAGCAGTTTCTGTCAGAGCTCTCTTAGCCCCACCTACCTCACAGGGTGTCTGTTGTGGGGAGGGGAAAGGAAAGGAGTTTGTGAGCCGCTCTGAGACTCCCTTGGGTAGTGAAGGGCGGGGTATAAATCCAATCTCCTCCTCCTCTTCTTTTACCTCACAGGGTGTCTGTTGTGGGGAGGGGAAGGGAAAGGAGTTTGTAAGCCGCTCTGAGACACCTTTGGGTAGTGAAGGGCGGGGTATAAATCCAATCTCCTCCTCCTCTTCTGCTTCTTCTTTCAAAGCCGTCTCTGCCTGTGGCCATCGCTACATCCTCTGGCAGAGAAGTCCATATTTTAACCACTCTCTGTGTACAGAAGTATTTCCGCTTGCCCGTTTTGAATCTACTGCCCGTCCATTTGAACCAGCCTCTCCCAGGTACTACTGTGACCACTACACCACGCTGGCTCTCTTAACACCATCTTAGTGGCCAACGTGGTGGCACAGTCAGTCATTTCATAGTGGAGGTTTTGTAGCTATCACCAAGGAATAATCGGAATGTTGATGCCAAACGGGTCTTGTCCCACTGCCTTATCGCAAGCAATCAAACTTCATGTCTCGTTTATGGTATGTGATAACCTTAGACAGTTTCCTGTTTGCATTGTTTCACAACTTCTGTAATCCTAGTCTTGCCCCAGCCTGTGAGTTCCTATCTATACCTTGTGGCTAATAGCCACTGATGGACCTCTGCTCCAGATGCTTATCTAATTCCCTCTTGAAGCCGTCCATGCTTGTAGCCACTGCCACCTCCTGTGGCAGTGAATTCCATGTGTTAATCACATGTGTTAATGTTTTAACTGTTGGCTTTTCTCTTTTGTACTTCTTGCAAGCTCTGTTTTTAATGATGCATTTAATGATGTTGGTTTCCCATGGCTTTTCAGATGAGATTTTTAATTCGTTCGCCGCCGTGGTGGCCCCCGTGAAAGCACAAGAAAATAAAGAGCCACGCCAGTCGCAGGGAGATTAAGAATTGGGGCCGAGGCCGATGGTGCAAAATCCGGTAAAATATATATTTTATTTTATTACTCAGATCAATTTCCAAAACTTCCCAAGAATCCCTACACTGAGCCTGCATCGCGGGGAGGGCAGGGTATAAATTGAATAAAATAAATAAATAAATTTTGCCAACAGGGATTTTTTTAGAAATTGATCTGAGTAATAAAATATATATTTTACATGATTTTGCACCATCAGCCTTGGCCCCAATTTTTATCCCCCATGAAGGCAGAAAGGAGGGTAAAAATCTTGTTAATAAACAAACACGATACCAGGGGTATGTGGAAACCACGGCCGTCTGCATCTACATGCCAACTGCCCTGATTGATTTAAAACTTTCCGCCCAGCTCTTCCCATTCTTTAAAAAAAGAAGAAGAAATACCAAGCTCAGGAATGAAGCATATGCACTGAGCACACTGATCAAAAGTCTTGTATAAACCATAATTGGGTGCATTCTAAATTTTAGGGCACAGAATGGAATTTGTGTCTGTGTGCAGAGTTGGTATTTGAGGGATACAATTTGTTTTCTTGCAGGATTCCGCAAAGCAAGATGGTGCCGGCCGCTTGCAGAGCAACTCTGAAGTCGGCCATGGACCGGAAGCTCTCACAGCCTGTCAGATGTTTGCCCCGAATCCCGGGCTCGTGGGCTGCACCGTTCTCCGTTACCTCCGTCAGCAGCAATGCTCTTCTGGTTCCAAAGGCAGCCACGGGGGCGGATGGTCTCCTGGTGGCCTCTTTGCAGCACTCAGTCAGCCAAGCAGTGAACTTAGCAGCTTGCGTGGCTCTGGGGACGGGGACGTGGTTCCCTCCTCTCAGGCACAGGGTCTTTCAGGCCTCTGGGCCCAGTCGTTTGGACTGACTTCCTCATCCGTTTCTGGAGGAACGGCTGCGGATCTTGCCGCTTTAGATTCGAGGAGAACTGCCCGCGATGAGCAGAAACGGGACAACAGTCCTGTTTCTCTGCAGCGCCGCAACCAATCTATCGACAGCTCCCAGGACGATAACCAGGCTGTAAATGAGAGGAACGTACAGGGAGGTGATAAATTTTGTTTGTGTCCTACTTGGCATAACGGCATCTTTGTAGAAAAGGAGGCACGGAGCCGCTCCGCCGAAAGAGATGACTACAGAGCAGTGCAGAATCCATTACAAACCGGGAAGGAAGACTCTCCTGGCAAAATTATCATCCAGCATAGTCATGGTCTGGAAAGACCACACAACCCTTTGCAAGGTGGTCCTTGTTGTCCACTCGTCTCATGTGCCGGCCATTCTAGAGATGGCAGAAGCTCTCAGGGCGAGCCATGGCTTTGGGACGAACTGCCCTCTTCTGAAAGCCTAAATGAATTCATTGCCAGAATTGAGAGCGGCAACGCCACGGAGTCGCCAACAGAGACGAGAGCCTGGGAGTACTTCCCAAGCAAAGGGGCTGGTGAAACCCACGGATGTGTTAACCAGACACCCCCTCAGCTAGCTGCAACATCCACACCTGGCCAAGCGCATGAGAAGCTGCAGGAGGTGGCTGAGAAGGTGGATCTGTCCAAAGAACCTGTTCTCTCTTGTCACCGGTTTAGCCAGCTGTCCCGTAGTGGCAAAGAGTATCAACCGGAGGCCTCTTTCAGGACTTTGTCTACTCAAGGAAGGGACGAGTGGGAGCGTCTGTCCGACCATCATCGGCTCCTCTTACCTTGGCTCTCTCCAGTTGGAATTCAGCCTTCTGGTTTAAAGGGAAGTTGCCCGTCACCCAAGGAAGGGGTTGACCGAGATGTCACTGGTCACGAGAATCACTGTGCCCCTGCCTCTCTAAAGGCTGCCAGGAGCTGCCTCAACAGTCCTGCCCGCTTAGATCGTAAGCGTGAGGACAATGCAGCTGGCTGGAGAAAGGAAGAAAGGTCTCACTGTGAGCCAAAACAAGGAGTATGTGAAAGACTGGACAACGTTTGTGAAGGGCAGCCACTCCCAGAAATGCACGGAAATCACTGTAAAGAGGGTGAGATCAGCAGTTCGCCACGGGACTCTTCCATCTGTACCCAGGGGAGTTACAACGCCTCAGCCGATCTCTTTGATGCTAGCACCGCAGGGGCAGAAGTAGTCACAGGGACATTAAGCACGGGCCAGGCTGCCTCAGCACAGGGGGGCGCGTTGACCGCAAAGTCCACAGCCTCCGGATGCCAGCCAAGTGAGTCGGAGGAGGCTAGCTGGGATACCTCTCAGAGTGGGTTATCCATACTCGGATTGTTTGCGGCTTCTGACCCGAAAGCAAGCGCCCCGGTTGCCGGTTCGGCACTCGAGTTGGAATGCAGCCCTTCGAGCTCGCAAGACTTTGTGCCGTCTTCCCAGTCCACTCCTCGTGTGCGACCGTGTCAACAGGCAAGGCTCCCTCAGGGGAAGGAATCTGTTCTCAGCCAATGGCCACCGAAGGAGTTGCCTTGGATCGATGCCAAATGGAAGAGACCCAGGCCTGCCTTCAAAGGCCCCTTGGCAAAACAGCTCGTCAGCAGGTTCCTGAAGTCCACAAGGTCAAGCGACGTGAGCTCTGCCGCTAGGGATACGTCAGCGACTCGGGGTTTGTTTATCAACAGTAGCCCAGCCCAGGAGCTGTCTGAAAGCGATGGCGCGGAATGGATTCCTCCGTCTGAAAAAAAATGGAGGCAGCCACTTCCTTTCCAGAATCAGAAAACGTTTGGGTTGAGGAGGAGCTGGGATATCACAGAAAAGACTCCTTTTTCGGACAGGCAAACAAGATGGGAGATTCGAAGAGGTACCACTGGGTTGGCAAGAACAGAGTTCTCTCCTAAAAGCCAGCAGCCGACAGAGGCTAATGAAGATGTGGCTGATCCCGAGCAGGTAACAGTGGCAACCCCTGGATTCTGCAGGTCAAACCTGTCTTCCGCAACTTGTTCCACACCTAACACAGTGAACTGGTCTCCTGAACTGTTTGGCGACAACAGCCAGCTCCCTCATCACGGAAGCCACTCTGTGGAACCCCCTCCCTCAAACGTAAGTTTCCTTCTGAAGCGTGCCCTTTTCAGGCCCAGCTGGAGCCATTTTTGATAGGTCCAAAGCAATTGTGTGGTGGGAAAGGACTACTTTTTTAAAAAACACAACACACTTCTCCCCCCCCCCCGAATCTGCACACCTGCTATATTTTTCGCGGTCCTCGTGGCATTTTTAAGCAAGGAATTACATCTACTTGGAAAGCCTTGGGCAGGGTGCGGCATAAGCAACCTGTAGCTACGCCGTCCCCCGTTCTCACAGAGTATTAAAATGATTGCTTTCTATTCAAAAAAGAAATAAAAATTTTCCTTCACACGTGGGACATGATTAACAGCTGTCATTTAGACATCGCTGGGCCACATCCTCAGCCCCGGAACTGCTTTAGTGATCCGTTGCCCTGCTCGCAAACAATTACACAAACCAGATTTCACTCTAGGGACACCTCCCAGAGCCACTAATTTACACACCCATGTGCCGTAACGTTGCCAAAAGCAACTCTGCCCCATCGCAAAGGCGCACGCTCTCAAATGTCTTATTTTTTAATGATTTAAAGCTACCGATCCCCTTTCTTCTAAATAGCTCAGAGGGTGAACACATGGAAGCTGCCTTATACTGAATCAGACCCTTGGTCCATCAAGCTCAGTATTGTCTAGTCAGACTGGCAGCGGCTCTCCAGGGCCTCAGGCGGAGGTCTTGCCCATCACCTGCTGCCTGGTGCTTTTTAACTGGAGATTCCGGGGGTTGAACCTGGGTCCTTCTGCATGCAAAGAGGCTCTTCCACTGAGTCAGGGCCCCGCCCCATCAAATTCAGTACTGTAGACTGGCAGTGGCTCCCCAGGGTCTGAGGTCTTTCCCATCCCCTACTGCCTGGTCCTTTGAACTGGAGATGCCAGGGATTGAACCTGGGTCCTTCTGCATGCCAGGTAGATGCTCTGCCACTGAGCCATGGCCCCTCTCCATGGCTCTCCAAGGTCTCAGGCAGAGGCCTATCACATCCCCTCCTGCCTGGTCCTTTTTAACTGGAGATGCCGGGGATTGAACCTGGGACCTTCTGCATGCCAAGCAGAGGCTCTGCCACTGAGCTATAACCCCTCTCCTTACAATATATACCACTGAAAACCAGACCTGCACCAAATGGTATAAAACATAAGAAATTGCCTTTCCGCCACAAAAGCCCTTGACAACTATAAACAAAATCCAAGCCATCTGCCGAAGGACCTCCTAAAGTAGCCTAACAACCTATGTTCCCTCTAAGCTGTGGAGTCTTGTGAGCAAAAATTCTACTTTATGAGCTTACTGGTATTAAAGTTGTGAGCGAGCAATTTGGCTGCCGCATAAATTAGTTTGCTCTGGAGCGATCCTTCCTGAGCCAAGATAAAAATGTGTGAGCCGAAGGCTACAAAACTGTGAGCTACCTCACACTAACTCAGCTTAGAGGGAACACTGCTGGCAACTTGCTTGAAGCCTCCTCTAGAAACCCATTTCAGAGGCTGGCATCCATGATGGAGAAAAGGGACTTGGGTATGTTCAGTCTGGAGAAGAGGCTGAGAATAAACATGATGGCTCTCTTGAAGTCTCTGAAGGGCTGTCACTCAGAGGAGGAGGGCAGGGAGCTGTTCCTGTGGGCAGCAGAGGAGAGGACTCACAAGAATGGGTTTAAATTAAGGGTGGGAAGGCATTAGGGTTTCTTTAGGGTAAGAGCAGTTCAGTGGAATGGGCGGCCTCAGGAGGTGGTGAGCTCCCCCTGTCAGTCTTCAAGCAGTAGTAGGATGAACACTTGTCAGGGATGCTCTAGGCTGATCCTGCATTGAGCAGGGGGGTTGGACGAGATGGCCTCTTTGTCCCCTCCCAACCCTGTGATTCTATGAAAACTCTCAAGTGGGCAGCAGCCCTGCATGTCCAGTGCAGAGGGGTACTATGGAAGGAATTGTTGGACTGATAGGAGCTGATTCTCAGGCCAGGGTATAAATGATTCCAGAAGACATATTTCCATGCAGCTTCTTCCTATTCATTAGAGCTTCCTCCCAAGGAACTGGGCCTGGGATTACCACTGCCATGAGGAAGCCTAGTTTGAATCTCGAGTTAGCGTGAGAGGGGGGGGGGCTGTATCTCTTATGATGTTGGAGGGAGCGACTCAGCATGCCAGGACACTGGGGGTGCTACATCACTCTTAAATGTGTCCAGGTGTTATCTCCTTGAACAGGATGCCTCTCTTTCTCTTTTTTGTCACCTGGGTGTGGAACAGGGGTCACTGAGGGTGTGGAGAGGGAGGTTATCTGTGAATTTCCTGCATCGTACAGGGGGTTGGACTAGATGACTCTGGAGATCCCTTCCAACGCTACGATTCTAACCTGGGAGCTGCCCTCTGACTCCTCCTCTCTCTGTCTCACTCCCTCCTCATGGCCTTCCATGGAGACACATGTCTCTGTGGCCCTCTCCTGTAGAAACAATGCCCTCATCCTCCCACACACATGATGGCCATTTGTGAAAGGGAAAGTACTCTTAAGATGAGGCTTCTTTCTCTTTTCTTTGACCACAACCTGAATGTGAACTGGATCTACTTGAATAATTGTAAGTTTACCTTCCCCCCCCCCCAATATATTTCTTGGCAGATTTATTTACTGCACTCACGCTTCTGTGACTAGGCAAACTCTGCTATATTAACCATCTGTCCCAATAAATGATTCATCTAGAAGTCCCAGTCACCTTATTGAAGATAGCACTGATTATCTCTTTGAAGGAGGGAAGGAAGATTTGCTTTTTACACCCTGCCCTTCACTACCCGAAGGAGTCTCAGAGCGGCTTACCATCTCCTTTCCCTTCCCCTCCCCACAACAGACACCCTGTGAGGTAGGTGGGGCTGAGAGAGCTCTTTCAAGAACTGCCCTTGAGAGAACAGCTCTGAAACAACTTGTGACTACCCAAGGTCACGCCAGCAGCTGCATATGGAGGAGTGGGGAATCAAACCCGGTTCTCCCAGATTAGAGTCCAGTCTGTGGTGCAGTTTCTGGTTGACACCTCTCTAAAAAAATGCAGAACTGGAAAAACTTCAGAAGAGGGCAACCAAGATGATTAAGGGATTGGAACACCTTTCTTAAGACAGGAATCTGGGACTTTTCAGTTCAGAGAAGAGATGGCTTCGGCGGGAGGCCTGACAGAGCTTTATAAAATGCACTTGGGTTCAGAGAGTGGACAGAGAAAGAGCTTTTTCTCCCTCTCCCGTAACACCACCGCTCGGGGGCACCCAACAAAAGTGATGGGCAATAAATTAAGAATGGACAAAAGAAAGCACTTCTTTACTCAACAAGTAATTTGAATTGTGGAATTCCCTGCCAGTGGATGTAGTCGTTTGCCACGAGCCTCAATCACTCCAAAGGGGGATTAGATAGTCCACAGGTCCATCAGTGGCAACAAGGTATGGTGACTAAAGTGAACTTCCATGGCCAGAGGCAGTAATGGATGCCAGTGCTAGGAGACAACGTCAGGGGAAGGCCTTGAGCGGAATGTTGGCCCTCCAGGACAGACAGGTAGCCCCCGAATGAAACAGGATTCTGGACTAGAGAGGCTGTACTAGTCAGATCCAGCAGGGAACTTTCTTATGTTTGTGCTTTCTTATGTTTGTGCTTCCCCTCATATGCCACATGAAATCTGTTCTTGTAGGCAGGGGTCATTTCCTGCCGGAGCACCCCGGAGCAGTGCTTCGGCAGGAAGGAGCCCAGACGCCACCACCTTTCCTGGCCCACCCAGACTCAGGGACGGGGGAGATTTAAATCCCTGGCTTCCCTGACCAATCTTCTCCAGGAGAAGATCGAGCAGGGAAGCCAGGCATGTCTGCCTCCCTGCCCTTCCCTGCTCCAGCCAGCCCACCGCGGCGGGTTGGCTGGAGAGGGGAAGGGGAGGCGCGCAAACATGCCCTCCTTTCCCCCTGAGCCTCTCTGCTTTTGCGGAGAGACTCAGGGAAGGGGGGGGTTTAACTCATTTGCACGCCTTATTTTAAACACGCCTGCCCTTTGTCAGGGGGTGTGGCATACGCAAATAAGTTGTGTAAATGAGCTCCCGGAGCACCCCGGAGCAGTGCTTCGGCAGGAAGGAGCCCAGACGCCACCACCTTTCCTGGCCCACCCAGACTCAGGGACGGGGGAGATTTAAATCCCTGGCTTCCCTGACCAATCTTCTCCAGGTGCCCCGCAGCTGCGGGGCACCCGGAGAAGATCGAGCAGGGAAGCCAGGCATGTCTGCCTCCCTGCCCTTCCCTGCTCCAGCCAGCCCACCGCGGCGGGTTGGCTGGAGAGGGGAAGGGGAGGCGCGCAAACATGCCCTCCTTTCCCCCTGAGCCTCTCTGCTTTTGCGGAGAGACTCAGGGCAGGGGGGGGTTTGCACGTCTTATTTTAAACACGCCTGCCCTTTGTCAGGGGGTGTGGCATACGCAAATAAGTTGTGTAAATGAGCTCCCGCACCTCTTTTTCTAGGAAATGACCCCTGCTTGTAGGCCTTTTCTGTATAGGTTTGCGAGGGCCACTAATACATAGCACCGACAGTGTTCTCAGTAGTGCAGACAGCCCCATAGCTGGGGAATTTGGGGGGAGGGGGCCTCAGGGGGCCCACCAGCTAATTAAATGAAAGTACAATGCAGGTGGTAAGTTGGAGCACTTTGGAGGCAGCCGGGGAGGGAGGGGGCCCAGAAGAAACACTCAGGGGGCCAGGCCTCATGGGCCCCATGTTAGCTACAGGCCAGAGTGCAGAGAATGCCAAAACAACTTCTTTGCTTCTGTTCCTAATTGAACGGAAAGGACACAGGCCCAGCATATGCATGAAAGGTGGTAAATGTTTCTGTGTGATCCTGACTGCCTCTCTAAAAGATCTTGTGACTTGAGCAGTTGAAACATCCACGCAACAGGGAGGTGTTCTCTGCAGTCATGGCATTTTAAGAAAAACATGGCAGAAACCACTGCCAGCCAGCACTCCGTGTGCCCTGGGGGACAGCCACAAATACAAATGCTACCGTAAAAACCTCTTCCTTGGAGACAAAACATTCCTTGTAGAATGCCTGTAGAGTATGCAGTTTCTCAGATCTCCCCAAGAACTTTTGAATTGCAAATCAGGAACTTCCCTACAAAATGTTTGCCTTGTCTTTGAAAAGCCCAAGGCGGAGGGAATACGGCTTCTGCTGATTCGCGACTGTAGATGCTGAGTTCGATCAAAGGAGGGTGTTCCAGGCCTTGCCATGCAGCTGTGGGAAATGAAAGGCAACATCTGGAACGTGGCTCTGCGAGAGAGAAAAAACCCACCGCATGGAACAATACGTTGTTGATTGAGCCATCTGATGGGCTGGGTAACAAACAGGCGGTTTGATACAATGCAGGGCCCCCTGAAGGGGTTCTCCTGGCTGGCCGAATGTTTACTGAGCAGACTTTTGTGCTCCTGCAAAAAAAAAAAAGGTCAGCTTGTGCAGTGTGTACTGTTAGGTTTGCTTTTATTGTGCCAGAGACGCCAGAGGAGGAAGATTTTAAGAGCCAGTCCCTTCTCTAAGCGGCATATTCAGCACTGACCATATTTCTGAAGACGGTTTACCAACCTGGGGGCCAGGACCAGGGTTGCACACTCCGGGTTGGGGAATACCTGGAGATTTGGGGGGTGGGGCGTGTTTGGGGCATAATGCCTTCAAGTCCAACTTTCACAGTGGCTATTTTCTCCAGGTGAACTGATCTCTGTCGCCTGGAGATCAGTTGTAATAGCAGTAGAACCCCGGCCACCACCTGGGGATTCCCAAACAGACAAATGCCACTAGTAGAAAACACCAGGGGTCATTTCGTAGAAAAAGAGCTAGGGGAACTCATTAGCATAACTCATTAGCATATGCCACACCCCCTGACATCAGGGGCCCGGGGGTGGACCTGCAAGGCCAGCGGGAGTGCGAGGAAGCCCCGCCAAGGCCCTCCCTGGCCCCAGGCAGGCAGGGGTGGGGAGAGGCGGGGAGGAAGCAACTTACCCTCCCTCTTCTCCTGCTTCCTCCTGGCTGAATGAGGGCCGGAAGCGGGGCAGCCAGAAGCAGGGGGCGGGGCTTCATCATGTGCCCCGCCCCCCTGCACCTCACCCGGGGGAACTGCGTCCCCCCCCCCGAAATGACCCCTGGAAAACATCATCAAAGATTGCCAAAACAATATATAACAATTATAAAGTTGGTGGTGTCACAACAACATTGATGCATACTGTAACTATAGTAAGGCCTAAGATGCAATATTTCCTCCTTTGAAGACAGGACATTAAGTCCATGTAGTCCGTGTAACTTGATAGGAGGAGTCCACATAGTCATATAACATTGTCCAAACAGCCTTTGCAAAGACGCCCATTCTAGATACTTGGAAGATGCGTTTCCATCGACTTCTTCCGTTTGCCGGCTGTGTAAGCAGAACCTGATTTCAGCAATTTCAACAGGCCACAAGGTTCATAGTGTAAGAATTGCCAAGATGGGCGCCAAGGTCATAGTTTGCTTAGGGCACCAAAAGACCTCGGGCCAGTCCTAAAATGGGTCACCCTTCCAAGTACATTTGAACTTGTGGGTCATCAATCAATGCTCCCTCTAAGCTGTGGAGTCGTGTGAGCAAAAATTCTACTTTCATGAGCTACTGGCATTAAAGCTGTGAGTGAGCAATTTGGCTACTGCACAAATTAGTTTGCTCTGGAGCCAGCCTTCCTGAGCTAAGACAAAAATGTGTGAGCCGGAGGCTTAAAAACTGTGAGATAGCTCACACTCAGCTTAGAGGGAACACTGGTCATCACACCAAAAAGTTTGGGAACTGCTCCCTCAAGAACCATGGGACATCGGACGGAAGAGCTGTCTTGTCCTGCATCCTGCTTTCCACAGTGGCCAGCCCCCTGCAAGCAAGCACTTAGGCAACAATCCGGTCCTTGCCATTTCATTCACCAATGAGCATTCACAGATCCGCTGCTTCCAAGTATGGAGGCTCCAGTTAGCCCCAATGTCTAACCCTAGACAGGGGTCATTTCTTAGAAAAAGAGGTGCAGCTCATTAGCATAACTTATTTGCATATGCCACACAACCCTGACATCACCGGAGGTGTGTCAGAAGGCAACACCCACCACTCAGGCTCCACTGGACTGTTTTGGATTGCAAGCTATGGGGGGGGAGACATGCAGATCTGCCCTCACAGAGGAGGGAGAGCTTGTACCTGAATAAAATTTGGTCTTAAAGCTGCCACTGGACTGTTTTGGATTGCTATCTATGGGGGGGGGGGCGCACAGAATGATCTGCAGAAAAAAGAAGGAAGGAGAGAAAGAGAGGGAGAGAAGGAAAGGAGGGCTGCTTCTTGCTCCTTGTGGCCCGGGGCTGCTGGGGTGGGGCGGGGCTTGTTGCATGTGCCCGTCCCCTGGGCTCTTTACTACCGGAGCTCCACTCCTGTGCGCTCCTGCAGGAAATGACCCCTCACCCTAGACCAGATAATGCTTCGTAAATTTATCTTTTCCCCACCTCCCATGTCACATTTTGTGTGGCCTGGGAATGACAGTTTTCAGCTGCCCCTTCTCGGGATGACCCCAAATCCTAAGCACCATAGTAAAAGTAATGAGTGGACCCAGGGTGCGAATCCAAAAACCTACAATGGGAGGGCCACCCAGAACTGGGGTACATCTTTCTGCAAGCCTGAAGTGACCCATGTTTTATGAAACGTTTGAAAACTATTAAGTAAAAAAGGCAATGTCTGCACATGCACAGATATTGGGGGGGGGGGCGAGAACCACCGATCTGAGGGTGGAGTGCATAGCAACCCAAAACGGAGCCTGACGGTCCGTGGCCTGAACCTGGAATGTAAGAAGTGTGGTATCAGGGGAAAGAGAAAGAAGGGGGAAAAGATATGGGGGGGGGGGGAGAACCAGACAGGGAGGCAGAACCGGAGCACTCTGGGTATGGGGAACAGCGGCAAGGATATATCGGGGGGGGGGGTCTCCTTTGCAAGTCCCCCACTTGTTCTGTGCTAACGCTGCATGTGTTATTGAGCAGGGGAAACCAGTCCCCCCCCCAAAAAAAAAGCACAGCACAAGGGACGGGCTCATCACCATGGCAAAGGTGATACAAGCAGCTTGCCCGACACCAAATCCAAACAAAACTTCTAAACTCCCCAGCTTTTTGTTTCTGGTATCGCGAGGACTCTAACTTTTGCCTTTAAAAAGAAAGCTGCTTTAGCATGTAGCTAAAAGCAGGGGGGGTTCTGAGAAGGAAGGAGCCAGGACAGACTTGTTGGATATTGTAACTCTGCATGCAAGAGGATCTGGGGAAGGAAAGAATTAAGAGAATAATCTCACTCGGGTTCACTTGGCAGTCGGCGCCACCCTCTCATCGGTTAGACACTGAGCCTCTTTGGCCGTCGCTCGCCTTCTGTTTTTCGCCTTATAGGGGACCTCACTTTTTCTCTCTCTTACCTGGTCTTGGAGCCGTAGCAAGTTAACCTTTTTGGAAGTTAATCTGTTCACAATAAGTTAAATGTACCGACACGAACATGTCATGTAAGATGTGCCTCTATTTTTGTAAGTAAAATTTCTTTCTCTCGTTACCATTGGAATCAGGTCGTCTTTGTAATTTGTTTGAACAGCATTATCCCCTTGACCGGGAATCATGGAGGATGGGGGATACTGCATAAACCTGTGCTTCCAAGGCAACTGGGGTGTTTTTAGATTTAACCTAACAAGACTTTCATCTCTCGTCTTTTCCGTGTCCCTCTCGATGATCCATTCTGATTTCTCGACACCGTTGCTCACTGCTGGGCTATTGGTCGTTTCCGTCGCCTCAAAGCAGGGCCGCCAAAACCTGTTGACTGAAAGATCTGAAAGAGGAGAGGACTCTTTCACTAGGCCGTGGCCATGATTGAGGGATGTTCCTGCTTGACAGATCACTAGGGTTACTCTGAAATCCAGAAAACTGTCGGCAAAAAAGAAAGACCCGTTTGTGTGCCTTTTTTTTTTTAAACATCAGATTTATTTTCAAAAAGGCTAAAACTTTTAGCAGCTCACCCCCCCCCCCAATCCAAAAAGGGATTGCTTGCCAGTAACCGGGCATGACCCACCAGACGTCTCCCCGGTGCACACCCTATTAACATGAGAAAGGCGGGTGCACAAGAGCCTATCTGTGTGGGTGCCCCACATCTATGCTTTTGCATATCCCCCCTCCCCCTTGGGTAGGAGGGCTAGTTCAGACGCGCTCTAGTGCCCCACCAGTTCATCTCCCAGTGACCTGCACCCGTCTCCTGTACATATCCAGCTAATTAATACTAAATACAGAATTACCAGCAAATTAATACTAAAAGTACAGTCCATTGCAATTCCACCGTGACTGGACAAAGTTAACCGCCTTTCCTTTCAGGAAAAGCAAATCGACGCCCATGTTTGAAAACGAAGCGGGTCTTCTTTGCTTCTTCGATTCCCCTTTCATGGCAAGAGCGTAAAACCCAAAGTCTTGTATGCACATGGCACTGGAGGTGTCAGAATCGGATCAGGACACATCTCATACGGCTTGCAACTCGGAGGTTTCAGATTAAAAGGAACTGCCCAAGCCAACAAGTTCACACGCACACACACAAGCCCGAGAGAGAGCAGCAGGAAAACCAGAGGAAGTACAACCGCGGGAGCCTGCGAGCGACTAGATTACAGGGGAGGCCATGTCAACAACAAAAAAAAGGGCAACTTCAGAGAGCTCCTCAAAAAGCTCCAGCTTTTGCAAACTCGTCGCAGCCAGCATGAAGAGCCATAAGAAATTCTGAACATGCGCTGCCGTGTTACTCCTAAGCTTAGAAAACCCTACAAAGTTGTGCACTCGCTTGCCGACAAGAAAATATTTCTGTGACCAGCGGCTCTTCGAACACCGGGCAAGCTGCTATGTAAAAACACGCCCCATTATCCATCCTGTTAACACCGCTCAGTGATGCTGCTATATTTAGGTGGCTCTGCTCTGAATCAATTGTTTTGTCTCCTAAAACTCCTGTACGATCATCTTCAAGCTTTAATCTCAAGGGCCCTTAAATGGGTCTCCAGTATCACACACTCCAACATGGAAGGTCTGTGCTTAATGGAGACGTGGGACTGTCCTGGACCGATCTCCAAAATTTACACCCCTTCAAATCTGGTCCCAGGGCTCTCTTTCGCTAGCTACTGAAATAATCATGTTTAAAAAACACTTATTAGGCCTCCTCCTAGAAAGAGGGGGAAGAAGAGGGTAAGAATGGAACCCCCTATATATAAATATGGCAGAAGATTAAAGAAATACTGAGCCGAATTGCCAACTTTAGAATGCCTCCAAGAAGAGGAGGAGGAGGAGATTGGATTTATACCCTGCCCTTCACTCGGAGTCTCAGAGCGGCTTACAAGCTCCTTCCTTTCCTCTCCCCACAGCAGACACCCTATGAGGTAGGTGGGGCTGAGAGAGCTCTTTCGAGAACTGCCCTTGAGAGAACAGCTCTGACAGAACTATGGCTTGCCTAAGGTCATCCAGCAGCTGCAAGTGGAGGAGTGGGGAATCAAACCTGGTTCTCCCAGATTAGAGTCCGCGCACTTAACCATTACACCCAACCACTACACCCAGTTTATTGAGGATTCCTAACTTCCTCTTCCTGTGCTCGCAATTTGTCCAGCTAAAATGCCTCCTGTCAGAAGAGGGATACGGGGCATTTGTTTGCACTCGGGAGGGGGGGGGATTTTTGTTCTGTGGACTATCAGTGCACACAAGTGAGAAACTTCTAGCTTCTGTATAGAACAGAGGCAGGCAGTAACAGACCCAACTGAGCAGGAAACAAACAGCGAGACAGCACTGCTTTTTGTTCTAATCGGTTCCCAAAGCACTAGCATTTCTTATTCTTAAATTCCGCATCGATGCAAAGTGCCTGAATTCGGGAGATGTTAACACTTTGGGAGGGGAGGGGAATGAAACACATAAGGACTTCACTGAGTTGCGTCCTTAAAAAAAAACCCTCCAATCCTTGGGGCCTTCTATACAGGTCTTTGCTTAGCTGGCAGCCCAAGACAGCAGCCGAATGGTTAATGTGCATTTCCTTACTGTGAAGATCCAAAACCTGTTCCGCAAGAGAGATTTCCTGCATTGTTCACTGCCTTCCGAGAGGCGCGATCTTAGCCACTGGACGCCTAGCATCCCTTTGAATCCTAACCGACTCGACTCTGCGTTACAGGGAGAAAGGGGGGGGACCAGTTTATATTCAGGTCGTGTTCTGCTATGCCGACCCCGCAGGCGAAGGGGCCATCTTGCCACGCTTCGAGGGTCGAGCGCCCGGCAACGTCCACCGGTCAGGTTTGGGTCAAGACGACAACGTCCGGGATTCCCTCCGCCGAGCCGGACCTTGGCGAATAAAAGGAACAGCCGTGGCGCTCCGGGCCATCAGTTGAAATTACAGCAAGTCAAATAGCTGATGCTCTTCCCTTCGCCGGGCAAGGGGGACTCCACATTGTCCACAAGCGTGTTCCGCCTCGCTTCGCCGATCAGCCGGCAGGCCAAGTCCAGGAAGAGTTTTTCCACGTTATCTGACTCTTTCGCCGAGGTCTCCAGATAGTACATGTCTTGGGCTTCGGAAAATTCCTCCGCTCTCTGCTGGGAGACTTCTCTTTTGTCTGCTAGGTCGATCTTGTTGCCTGTGCGAACGAGGACAGAGGACAGGGTTAGCTGGAGTCTTTCTGGAAAAATTATCTATACAGTCTCAGTCTGGAGACTGAGCCCTACGAGGAGAGGCTGAGGGCCTTGGGAATGTTTATTTTGGAAAAGAGGAGATTGAGGGGGGACATGAAGAAGAAGAAGAAGAGATTGGATTTATATCCTGCCCTTCACTACTCAAGGGAGTCTCAGAGCGGCTTACAAACTCCTTTCCCTTCCCCTCCCCACCACAGACACCCTCTCTGAGGTAGCTGAGCTCTGACAGAAACTGCTCTTTTTCAAGAACAGCTCTTATCAGAACTACGGCTTGCCCAAGGTCATCCAGCCAGGTGCAAGTGGAGGAGCAGGGAATCAAACCCGATTCTCCCAGATTAGAGTCCGTGCACTTAACCACTACACCAAACTGGCTCTCTTTAAATATTTGAAAGGCTGCCATTTGGAGGAGGGCAAGGAGCTGTTCCAGTTGGCAGCAGAGGATAGGACCCGAAGCAACAGGTTTATATTCCATGCAGAAAGGTATCG